GAAGTATAGGCTATTCTCCATTGCTGGAGTATAAATTAGAGGCCAGGAGAGAAGAAAGTTGAGCCTGGAGGGGTAGGCATGTGTGTGGATGTGCTGTGTGTAGGTTAGTGGAGGCTGGAGGTTGCTCTAACTACCTGTCTTTTGCTGGGGTAGCGTCACATCAGGTCTCTGTGGTGTTGAGGAGAGCAGGTGGCTTTGGAAAAATGGTAGAGATTTAGGGTACTCACTGCAGAGAGTGGGCGAGGGAACAGAGACAAAATAAGGGAAAAGATTGCTGGATCGGAGGTGAATTGCTGCTGTAACAAATTAGCACAAACTTGATGTACAAGTTTACAATTCCACATGTTAAAAATCTAATACAGATCCCATGAGGCTAAAACCAAGGTATCTAGTAGCCATATTAAAAAGGCAAAAAGAAATAGGCAAATTAATTTTAATAATATATTTTATTTAATCCAACAGAGCCAAAATATTATCATTTGATATATAATCAACATAAAACTATTTGGGTCTTTTACATTCTTTTTGTCTTACCAAATCTTCAGAATCCAGCTTGTCCTTCATACTTGCGGCATGTTTCAATTTGGGTCAGCTATGTTTCGAGTGCTCAGCAACTGCGTGTGGCCGGTGACGGCCACACTGGCCAGCACAGGCTAGAGTGTGCTATGCCCCATCTCTTTGCACATCTGGCTCTGTCTCATCTGAGTCTCTGCCCAGAACCACCTCCCTGCGCATACTGTCTAACCCAGCCAACTTCCACTCCTAACACTGTTTCCTTTTCCTCTGGGACTTGTCACTAGCTGATATTTTATTAGTTGTTTATTATCCCTCTTCTCACTCATGAGCTATAAATACCACGAAGGCAAAGAAAGACCTATCTGTCTTCTGAGTGCTATGTCCCCAACAACTATGTCACATCCATGGGAGACTCTAAACAAATATTTGCTGAATGACTTTGGAGATTCCAGATTCGTCATTTGTCATCTCTGAAGCCAATATCCAGTGGGTGGGATATTAGAAGAGGGTGGAGATGGAGCTGTGTGCCAGACATAAGGTGGTCCAGAGGAACTGGTCCAAAAGCCTTCTGTAAGCTGAAAGGCTGACTCTCAGAGGTCACGTTTGGGGGTGGGACTCCTGGTTGTTGCATTTCCTTCCAGCTGTGACTTGGCTGTGTGTAGATCCACCCTTCCCCCCGCCCCCCCCTCCAGTTTTATGAGAAACCACCCCATTACGTGGCATTTCTGCCTGCTGCCAGTAGATGGGGCAGTGTCATTACAAAAAAGTAGTCTGCAATTTTCTAACCCACTTCCCAGCTTGGCTTTTCTGATGTTCTGTTCTGGAACTGCTCTCTCTCTGTCTCAAACCTGTAGTGTGGACTCATAAATGATGCCGCCATGGCTTCTCAGCCATTTGCCTAACATCAGATATAAATGGTGCTACCAGCTGTCCCTGCTGAAGAAATGTGCCTCAGTTTCAGTGTACGCTTTCAGCGGGGGTGGCCGGCTTCTCCATAAGGTGAGGCAGTCCCCGAGGCTGGCCCAGGCCCAGGCCCCGAGGAGACAGTGGGTTCTCTTCCTGAGTGTGAGCACAGGCACAGAGTGTGACTCACACACTGGGGTGTTGACAGTGGCCTAGAATCTTTGTGTTGTCCTGAGATTGAAAACAAACTTATTAAGAAGGTGGTCAAGGAGTACACCGACAATAGGAGCTGCTCTGTGGGTCTGTGCATCTGGCTGCTGCTGAGAAGCCTGGCCCACCAGGGAACTCCTCCCTGCCACTGTGGTCCACTGGTTTCCCTGCCACCACATAAAGCACAAGGTGGTATGTCTTGCAGAGGTGGGACAGCTTTGGACCCCTAAGCCATCTGGAAATATAAACCACCAAAACATGACTTCTGCTTAGGTAGAATTTAGATCTGAGATTACGGACCAGCTGAAAGTCACTTAGCACAGGTTAATTCAGTGGTATGTTTTTACCAGAGCTTTTTGTTTTTTGGAGCATGACTGTCTACTGAGGCTTCCTCAAACTATGGCCTGCGGGCCCCATGTGGCCTGACTAGGACATTTATCCAGCCTGCCGGGTGTTTTTGCCACCACTGCCTGTCTTGCTTAGCAGCTGACTCGTCCAGGGGCCTGCAGTCTGGCCCTCAATGGTCTGAGGGACAGTGAACTAGCCCCCTGTTTAAAAAGTTTGAGGACCCCTAGTCTACTGCATTATCACTGCAAGATATTCCAGAAATTTGAGGAGTTAAGTTGGTTTAAATGGCTTATTGTAGTCCTACTACCTCATTCTAATACTGTCTGGTAATCTTACATTAACATCACTGCAGGTGAGGAGGAAGGCACTGTGGCTTTGATTAAAGGACACAATAGGGAAAAGGCCATTTGTTCCCCTCAGAGACTAGGAAGGCCAAAAAGCTCCATCACGAAATTTTCTTCTTTCATTGTTTCAATCCTTAAACTCCGTCTGATCCTGTTTACATGCCTACATTTTCATGCTTCTATAATTTTGCTGTTCTCTATATCTGGAAAGCCCTTCAGTCTTTTCCTATTTAGAGAAATCCTGTTCTCTCTTCAAATGTCACCCTCTCCAGGAAGACTTTTCTGATTTGCACGGTCACAATGAAACTTTTCTTTCGGTTTCTCATAGCATTTAGTCCACTCTGTCTTCTTCTTCACATGCACTTCTCATTAAGTCAACAAACATTTATTGAGTGCCCATTGGTACCACACATGGGAGATACAGGGTTTTTTCATAGAGCCTACATTCCAGTGGAAGCTCAGAATCGGGTGGAATTTACATTCCTCATTGGACTGGGAGCTTCTTGGAGACAGTAATGGGACCTGCTCCTAGATCAGGGCCTTGAACTGAAAGGTAACTCAGAGAAGTTAGTTACACTGAAACTCATCACCAACAACTCTGAGAAAATTGGGTTAGATTCAAAAGAAGATTAAAAGTTAGCAAAGGTAGAGGGTTAAGGAATTTCCAATAGTGGCCACAGTGGTTCTGGCATGATAGCGGGAGACGTGAAGTCTCTAGTGGACTTGGGCTTATGGAGAGAGACCACTGTCCTCCTCCAAGACGAGCCTGGGAGTTCGATCAGGACCATCCAGGTATTTATCACACATTGCAGCTAGAAGTCTTAGAAGTCTTTTTGATTTGACTGAGCAGACATAGAGGCAACCAAGTTGTTTCAAGGGCCCAGAAATGAGTTATTAGCCAAGGGTCAAACTGGTCAGATGACTATAACTATACTGTCCAGTTGGCACCTGAGAAAAGGAGGACTGATGCAATTATCACTCCCATGGGAGGATGCCAGGCATCATTTGACACTCATATTAAAAATGTCATTTGAATTTTTACTAGGAATTCTCATCCAAAACAGGCCAATGATATAAGAAAACCAAATGACTGGCCTGCCAAAGTAAACTGAGTTCTAACCACACACAAGCACGACTTAGAAATTGTATATATCGCAGTAAACTGCTCTACTCTGAAGCCTGACAGGAGGACTGGGTACTGGGGAGGGGGGATTGGAGCAGGAAGCACCTTATTTATTGACTATATATTATATTGTTCACTCCAGTCATCTTACCACTCACCTCACTTTTCACCATCTGCTGCTTAGTTGTGAAAATGGGTTCTATAACCTAATACAATTCTGAAAATAAAAATATTAAACAAATCCTAGGCAGTGCCTGTAGCTCAGAGGAGTAGGGGGCTGGCCCCATATGCCAGAGGTGGCGGGTTCAAATCCAGCCCCAGCTAAAAACTGCACTAATAATAATAATATATATATATATATATATTTTTAAACAGATCCAGTCATTCTTAGAGAGCTGTCACACAAGGAAAAAAAAAACACTATTTTCTCAACGTTTCTGCGCAGGAAATTATAGTCTACAATCGCATCTTCCACTACCTCCCCCAGAAGTTTCGATCTAGACATACATTTATTCAGTGAGTCGAAGCTCTGCCTAGGGGTGGAGTGTCACAGTTCAGGTTCCTTTTGCTGTGGGGTAACCCCAAATCCTGGTGGTTTCTGCAGAGGAAAGAGACGCTGGTAAAATTGGGATGCGATTGCCTGATTGGATCGGTCCCCGTCCTTTCTCCGCCAATGGCTGCAACTGGGTCCCTTTAAGAGACCAGAAATTTGCCCGGCGTTGGAGCCCGAAACGGATCCTTTTCTCTGCTCCTCCCCTGTCCCAGCGCGGCGAATGGTTCGCGCCGGCCTATATTTACCGGAGATCTTCCCCTCGGACGGCAAGGATGTGAGGCGGCCGAGCCGGCCACTGCTCGCTGCTCCGGAGAGGGCGCGCTGCAAAGGCGGGCAGCCGACCTAGGAGAGCCCGCGAGTGGAGTTGGATACCCCAGAGAGAAGAAATGAGGTAGCGGTGGTTCCCAGAGCGGACCATGGGCACGTCCCGCCAGCGGAGACCAGCGGTACCTTGGCCAAGCCAGCCCGGACAGTGAGGCGACCGAGCGCGAGTCCCCGGGGTCTGGCCAGAGCGGAGATGCAGTGAGCCAAGCGGGACTGCTGTGCGGGGCCCGGCGCGGCCAGCCGGACCTGCCATCTGACCGCACTTTGGGCAGGCTGCTGATTCTGGGACCAGCCCAGCTTAGGGGCTCTCAGTCTCCAACACCCCTTGAGGGTGGAGAACACTGGCCCTGGGGCACACTTACCGAAGAGTTCTGGCGATTTCTGGCCCCAGGCCGGGGGGTTGTGAGTGTGTCAGGGGCCCCTTTTCACGCTTGCTGGGGAGTCCCTGAATATTCTCGCACCATCCCAGGTGCTTTCGATGGGGCTCCCTTTATTTATTTGCACGCAACGCATCTAGCGTCTAAGACATTTTGCTCCACTCTCGTTCCCTCTTTCTCTCCTTTTGCTGCTTGCCTGAGACTCTGCCCTCGTCCTTGGCCAGGCTGGGGTAGTTCTCTCTGTGTGTGTATGTGAGAGAAAGAGAGAGAGAGAGCGCGGGCTTTCCCCCTCCCCCATTTTCTTCTCTTTTAAAAATTCTACCCCCACCTCCGGCGGGATTCTTTCTACACTATTTATCCTCTCCTCCCAACTCCCTACCACTGGGTCGCTCCTGGCTGAGTTTTATTTTCCGGTCTTCCCCGGGCCAAGCCCGGGCCGAGGCGGGTGGCTCAGCCGGGCTCGCATCCGGCGCTCCGCCGCCGCCGCCCAGTTGTGCCGGGGCGCCCTTCGGAGATGCTGCCGTGGAAGAAGCACAAGTTCGAGCTGCTGGCCGAGGCGCCGCCGCGGCAGGCGTCCAAGCCCAAGGGCTACGCTGTGAGCCTGCACTACTCGGCGCTCAGCTCACTGGCGCGGGCTTGCCCCGAAGGCGCGCTTAGCCGAGTGGGCAGCATGTTTCGCTCCAAGCGCAAGAAGCTACACATCACCAGCGAGGACCCAACTTACACCGTGCTCTACCTGGGCAACGCCACCACCATCCAGGCGCGCGGCGACGGCTGCACCGACCTAGCCGTGGGCAAGATCTGGAGCAAGAGCGAGGCCGGCCGTCAGGGCACCAAGATGAAGCTGACGGTGAGTGCGCAGGGTATCCGCATGGTGCACGCTGAGGAGCGCGCGCTGCGCCGGCCGGGCCACCTCTACTTGCTGCACCGCGTCACCTACTGCGTGGCGGATGCACGGCTGCCTAAGGTCTTCGCTTGGGTGTACCGACACGAGCTAAAACACAAGGCAGTGATGCTGCGCTGCCACGCTGTGCTGGTGTCCAAGCCCGAGAAGGCGCAAGCTATGGCCCTGCTGCTCTACCAGACATCAGCCAACGCGCTGGCGGAATTTAAACGCCTCAAGCGGCGGGACGACGCGCGTCACCAGCAGCAGGAGCTGGTGGGCGCGCACACCATCCCGCTAGTCCCGCTGCGCAAGCTGCTCCTGCACGGACCTTGCTGCTACAAACCGCCGGTGGAGCGCAGCCGCAGCGCGCCCAAGCTCGGCTCCATCACCGAAGACCTGCTCGGCGAACAGCAGGAGCAGGAGCTGCAGGAGGAAGAGGAGGAGGAGCAGCCGGTGGGCTGCCTGGAGGAAGAGGAGGACTGTGCGGGGGAGGGTGACCCAGGACAGGAGGAGGCCGCGGCGCAGCAGGCGCTGGTGGTGGCCATGCACTTAGAGTGCGGGGACTTGCTGGACACGCTGGAGAATGGCCGCGAGGAGGCGCTGGGGGGCGGCGGGGACTTGTTGGGTCCAGGAGCTGGGCCTCCACCTCTGCCGCTGGGCAGCGCCTCCGACATGAAGGCCGAGCTGTCGCAGCTTATTAGCGACCTGGGCGAGCTCAGCTTCGGCAACGACGTGCGCACCCTGCAGGCCGACTTGCGGGTGACGCGCCTGCTGTCGGGCGAGAGCACCGGCAGTGAGAGCTCCATCGAGGGCGGGGCCCCAGACGCCACCCCCGCCACCGTCGGGGACTCGCCCGGACCCACCGACAGCGCCAGCTCGGACGAACCCCATTCGGGCTGAACTCCCTGCAGACTCTTCTGTACGCCCCCGGCCGTCTGTGGTCCTGACCACCTCCCTATCCCCCGCCCTCCCCCAGGAAAGGGGAAATGGGGCATGTGAGGCTCTGACCTACACTTAGGCGCAGGTCGAGAATTCCCCCTGGCTGCTCCCCTCTTCCTTCGCCCCAACCCTTTAGATTCTGTTTGAGGCGGACTCAGGTTGCGCTTGGGGATGTGGGGAGATGTAAGAGAGGGGAACACCCTTGAGGAGGGAGAGACCAGCCTTCTGGTGGCGGGGTGGGGGAGGAGGATGAAGGAAGGCCGGCAGGGCTGAAGTTAGCAAGTCTCCCCTGCTGGCCAGTTTCCTGTTTGTGGGGCAGCTGAGGCCTGAGGAGGAGGGGTTAACTTCCTCCCCCTGCCCCCTGGGAGTGGCCTTGCACTGTCATTGACATGTCATTGAAAAAAAAAGAATTTGCTCTCAACAACTTTTGAGACTTCAATGCCACCCTTTTGCTGTTAGTTCTCCTCGGTGCAAGAGCTTGGGCTGTTTACCTCCAGACTCAAACCCTTGAAATTCTGCCAAATTCCTCAAATAACTGTTGGGGTGGGGGGAGATGAAAGAAAGTTGCATTTTGTTTACAGTTAAATACATCTAATATCTGGAAAAGGAGTTTTCCTTTAGAAACACACACACACCCCCTTTCCTCTTGCCCAGAAGGTCTCACTCCATGATACTGTGTAAAATATTTTTGCACTGTTGTGAAGTATTTTTGACATCTTTATTTTGTACATAACTGTGTTCTCAGAGCCGAGTGTTTATATCTTTTGCTGTGCAAAAGAAACATGTAAATTGTTGTTCAGTTGTATATACAGAAATGTGTATAAAACATTTTGTTATTTTTTAAAAGTAGCACTGTTCCGGTTCTGTTTGCACGGCAGGGGGGGAGAGAATAAAGAGGAAAATTTGCCAGAATAGGTGAGCCTCTGAAACTGCTGCTGGGGTTGGAGAGGACGTGTCCAGTCCTGGGATGGTGTAGGACGACAGTGTTTGGCCTTTGCTGGGCTTGGAGAGAATTAAGGAAGGGGATTCACTTTATGCATATGGACCTCTGCAACTCTGGGCCCGGTGTCAGGGGTCAGCCTTCTCACCATATCCCATATTCTCACTTACAAAGTTGTGCGAGTGCGACTTCTTCTGGTCTCTGAGTTAATTTTTGGAGAGGCCAGGGTGAATTCCATTTTCCACCTGTGAGATTATTTATGGAGGAGTGACTTTCCAGGTCTGCTGAGGTTTTACCACTTCCTTCTGTGGGTCACACTAACAATCAAGTATAAAGATACCACATAATCTTTTTCTTTATAAACAGCCAAGGAGCTTCAAAGATGAATTAGAAACCCAAAGAAAGTCCCCATGGGGCTCCCTTAAGAGCAGGACCATCTCTGTTTTTCCTGGGAGGAAAACCAAAGAGAGAAAAGTTGACAAGTTCCAATCATGGTGCGAATGAGTCATGGTGCAGGTGGGGTGGTGGATGGGCAGCGGACAGATCCCATTTCCTTCCCTTCCACAGCCCAGCATGACCCAGTGGGGGAGTGGTGTGGAGGTCAAGGCGGAGAGGAGCTATTAGCACTGGGTCCTGGTGTGCATGTTTTAGTGTTTTCATGCTTTCTGTGTGTTTGTTTCTGTTGTAAACTCCAAACAGATGTCTCTAGTTTGGCTACACCCCATCAGCTGGAAGTTGTAATAAGATGCTGCCAAAACTGTGCCTTCTGCAAATTATATTTTCCCTTTGCCCCTTTGGGCCTCTTTTCCTGTCTTGCAGAAATGGATCTCATTCCTGGCCTTCCCTAGTGTCTTGAGGTCACTTTGCTTTGTTTTCATCCTACATATGCTCTAAGCAGCTAGACCCAGAGATGCTAAGGAGCCTGCAATTCGCAGGAATCAGAGGAAGGAAAGTTAATGATTTTCTTCCTAACTGATGGGAGGGTGTCAGGCATACGACTATTTAAAAAAAAAAAAAAGGAAAGGGGGGAGTAGGAAATATTTTTTTAAAAATTCCATCTCTTCTTAAGGGCTTTAGGACAAGGTCCAAGCCTTGAGTCTATTATATTTTGATTTGGTTGAAAGTTCTTCCTCTCTCTGCCCCAGATATGCATCATTGGATAACATTTAAAAACTTGCAGATTGAGAGAGGTCAGCAGAGTCAAATCCTGGCCTACCCACCTGCCCACGTGGATGTGCCTTCTACTCTGGTGCCCTACCTGATCAGAAGGCAGCTCTGTGGGCCATCTCTATCCTGTGTGACTACATTTCACATTTCAAATTATTTCTTCACATTGCCAAGTTCCTCTGCTGTTTGAAACTGATGAAGAGATAAAACAGTAAAGATAGATGGCTAATACTTGGAGGTGGGGCAGGGTCTTTGTGTCTTCATTCTTATTCAATTTATGTGTCCAATGAGAATGCCAGGGTTGGCTTTCATCCCTGATGAATGAGTGTATGGTGATTGGTCAAAAGCTTCAGGCAAAGAACTGTAAACCAACACCATCAATAGGCAACTGTCTGTTTAATGTTTGATTATTTCTCTTATTTGATTTATAAATAGGTAGGGGGTTTGAGGGTTGAGGAGGTGGAAAAGAAAATAAGCTGGCTGCAAAAGAACCTGCTCCACCCACAGCCTGCCCCAGGCCCTCCCCGTCTCCTCTGCTTTTTGGCTTTCATCCCCACTGCACCTGAGGGCTCTGACTGATGTAATTCTAGAAGAGATTCGAAGGTGATACATGATTCACTCTTTCTTATGTCTCAGTCTTCCAGGGATGATATCACTAGAGCAAAAAGAGATGTTTTGAATGAAAAAAGAAATTAAAAAACCTCAAAAAACTAATTTGCTCCTGGCACTTGGAGGGAAGTGTGGCATGACCACAGCAAAGCTAAGTAGTTCAATGAAATGCACATTCCAGAAGCACCTGAAGTCTGGTTTGCTCATCGCTTTTAGCTTTTCCTTCTTGCAAGGTGAGGCTCGTGTTTCTCCTTGACGTAACCTGATGTTACTTTAAATGCACTGAGACGCTCTCACATTCTTTCCCAGCCTAAGTAACCCTGCGAGTCCAACAATGTGGCATGGACTGTGAGAAACAGAGTGACTTCCCGCGGCAAGAGAGGTGTTGCAGGGCGGGAGGCGGGAGTCTACAGATGGGGTGTTTATCACCTCTCGGGCAAATATTCCATGTTCACTTCTACAGTTTGTTGTGGATGTTGAGGGGGAAGGCAGGAGGAGTGATGGTGTAAAATAAGCAATATTTTGCAATTATTACAGTGTGAGAGAACACCCCCTTCATACACACAAATGTTCCTCCCTAAAGAAAACATCCCTCTCACTGCCCCGCAGTCAGGAGAACTGTAGATTTTAAACAAATTAGAAAGGCTCTGTTTTACTGAGAAAGCATAATTTCCTGCCAGGGGACAGAGCTGTTTTTGAAGCTTCTGCTTCTGAAAGGAGAGAGAACTGGCTGGTAGACTCTAACCCTGGCACCACATTGGAGATTAAAATAACTCATCAGAGTCACTGAGAATCACGAGAAACATAAAAATTCTGTTAGGAGCAAGTTGTCCTCTTTTCGAGCAGGATTTAGTAATTTAATAAGCAGCACTCTTTCCTTTGTGTGGTATGCATCAGTAGCCCTAGCATCTGGTGGTAAGTGATGCGTGACAGAGCAAGAGATGTGTGTGGACTGCTGTGGCTAGGGGCCATGGCTGACACTCGGAAACGGCTCAGGGCTCCAGGCAGGCAGGAGGGCTGTGGGCCCCAGGGCACTCTGCACTCTCTGCTCCAGGCTTTATGCACATGGCCACTGTCCTAGCCTGTTTGGTGTTGCTAGAAAAGGACAGCTCAAGTCACGTCATTGATTGATTGACTGACTGAGACAGGGTCTCACTGGGTTATCCAGGCTGGAGTGCAGTAGCACCATCATAGCTCGCTGCAACCTCAAACTCCTGGGTTCAATTCATGCTCCTGCCTCTGTTTCTCCAAGTGCTAGGATTACAACCATGAGCCACCGTGCCTGCCCTGAAACTGCGTTATTTATTTAAAAAACAGGTTTATTTGTCTCCCAGATCTTCAGGCTGTACAAGAAGCATGGTTCTAGCATCTGCTTCTAGTGAGGGTCTCAGGAAGCTTCCCTCGTAGCAGAAGGCTAAGTGGAGCCACATGTACAGATCACAGGGTGAGAAAGGAAGCACGAGGGAATCAGAGGGACCAGGCCCCTTTTAACAACCATCTCTGGAAGGAACTAATGGAGGGAGAACTCACTCGTTCCCAAACACCTCCCAGTAGCCCCCACCTCCAAAATTGGCATCAAATTTTACCACGAGATTTGGAAGAACACACATCAAAACTATAGCAGCCTCATCTGGATCTGGCTTTACTGTTAGCTGGGGCCTTTTCTGTCCCTACTGGCTTATCCCTATTCATAACCCCCCAGTGTCCCTATGATCAAACCCTCCACTGCTGGCTCTGAAGTGATTCAATCTGGACAGTGTTGACTAACTACCAGTTTGGTGGCTTGACTGGCTACATGGCCCCAGAGTAGGGCTCTCCTTTTCTCTCTCTTGGGGTGTTCAGGGGCACTAGCAAAGGTCCTGTTTCTAACCCTCATGGAGAAGAGTTAGAAACAGGACCTTGGCACATCCCCCACGGCACTTCTTACAGTTTCCTGCCTTCCTCTTCATCTCTCTCCCATCCCACTTCCTCCTATTCACACATCATATCCCTCTGGCTTCTCCTAATGCCTACCTGGTCCTGGCTTCATTTCTCCTCCTTTCCATAAACCCAGCTAAGACTTTAAATCTTCCCGAAGAACAGATAGCCCGAACTTTAAGGGAAAAACAAACCATGCACATCAGCATCAGACAGCACCAATCTTGCATTTCAGGTCATGCTCTGTCCCTGGCCCACCACTTAGAAATGAACAAACTGAGGCACCGAGGGTGATCTCCTGCCTGTCACACAGGAGGGACCACAACCGGGGGTCCAAACTCCCAAGCTGATGCTCTCTTCACATGTCTCTGGTTTTTGTAGCTTATAAACAGAGTTTTACTTATTTCTTTATTTTTTTATTGAGACAGAATCTCACTCTGTTGCCCTGGGTAGAGTTTTGTGGTGTCATCATAGCTCACAGCAACCTCAAAATCTTGGATTCAGGCAATCCTCTTGCCTCAGCCTCTAAGTAGCTGGGATATAGGCACCAACCACCACGCCTGGCTAGTTTTTCTATTTTTAGTAAAGATGGGGTCTCACTCTTGCTCAGGCTGGTCTCAAACTCCTGAGCTCAAGCAATCCATCTGCCTCAACCTCCCAGAATGCTAGGATTACAGGCATGAGCAGATTTTTAACTTTGGGATGGCAGGAACTGGTAGTTGAATTTTCCCTTTCTTTCCCCTATCTATAGTACACCATTCATACATGGCAGATGCTTGATGATAAATATTGTCAGTGCTGTCCACCAACACCCATTCCCCACACAAAGTGTCAATGAATATGTTCTGGATGCACAGTGCTAGAGGTGAAAGAGTCAGGTGTCTGTCTCCTTCACGGTACGTGGGGTGGTGGCCTGCAGAGGAACTTGGTCTCCTCTTGCTTCCATCCTTGGGATCTGGTCCGGTGAGACCCCGCCCTAGAAGAGCAGGTCTAGTTGAGGGTTGGGGAGTTTTTCCCATTGCATCACCATTATTAATCATCTGTGCCCTTCCTGGTTGGCTGAATTCATCAAGGATAGGCATGTGTCTTAGGCATCTCTGATTCACCACACTTAACCCAGGGCCTGGCACCTAGTAGGTACTCAGGAAATGCTAAGGAGGGAGTAAGGAGTGATTCCATTCCAGGATGGGAGAACAGGTCTGATCAAGCTCAAGTCATTGCCCAGGTGAAGGAACTAAGGACTTAAGGATATATACGTATATTTGGTAAGGAAGTAAGA